CCGGGAGGGCGCCCCCCCCGAGCATCGGGGCGGCATAGGGCGTTCTTCTTCCTCCCTAGAGCGCGGGGGCATCGATCCTCCCGGCCCAGGCCCGACGGCACTCGGCCTCCCCTCTCGGGAGGCCTCCCGGGCGCCCCCCCGCGCAGGGGCGGGCAGGCAGGGCCGGCGCCCCCCCCCGCCCCGCAGGCGAGTGGGACCAGTGGAGCCGCTCGGCCGCCGCGGAGGCCTCGGGCTGCGGGGGCTCCTCTCTCGAGCGGAGGAGGAGGAGGAGGAGGAGGAGGAGGAGGGGGAGGAGGAGGAGGAGGAGGAGGAGGGAGGGAGAGGAGGAGGGAGGAGGAGAGAGGAGGAGGAGGAGGAGGAGGGAGGAGGGAGGGAGGAGGAGGAGGAGAGGGGGGGGAGGAGGAGGGAGAGGGAGGAGGGAGGGAGGAGGAGGAGGAGGAGGGGGAGGAGGAGGAGGAGGAGGAGGAGGAGGAGGAGGAGGAGGAGGAGGAGGAGGAGGAGGAGAGGACAACGACGACGAGGAGGACGATGAGGACGAGGAGGGATGATGGCGAAGCGTCCTGGCTCGCCTGTAGCCCCACCAGACACTGTTCTAAGAGCCCTTTGTGGTTCCCAGGACATGTTCTTGGAAACTGAGTGGGCCCGCCCTGGAAACGACAGGGCCGCTTTTTTTACCGGTTCCGTTCTGCCGTTTTGTTCCCGGCTCCGACGCCGTTTTTGTACCGGTTCCGCTCCAGTTCCGATCCTGGAGCCGTTTTTGTTGCCGTTTCCGGTCGCTGTTTTTGTTGCCGGTTCCTTTTTGAAGGGCTCCTCTCGCCATGCCGGGGCTCCTCTCGATGCCTCCGATCCAAGGAGAACAAAAGTGGCATAAACATAAAAACTCGGAGGTCCGCGCGGATTTCTCGGATCGGCGCTGGGGCCCTACTACCGCCCCTGCTCGGGGGGGGCGCTCTCCCGGGAGAGGCCTCCCAGCGCCGATCCGAGAAATCCGCGCGGACCTCGGAGTTTTTATTTATGTTTATGCAATTTTTTGTTGTTCCCCTAGATCCGACTCGATTCGATCTCGACGGCTTCCGATTGCGAGTCGATTCGGCTTCGTATTCCGATGTGGATGCCGATTTCTTTCCACGGAGGCATACTGGGCTGCCGATTTCTGCCGTTTCGACTTCTCCCGGCGTGGCTGCCGGTTTCCACCGATCCGATGCATTTCCAACGCCGATCCGATTTGTCGATTCGATTCTGGGCTCTCCCGCATGCCGGGCACAGCAGAGATTCAGTCGGGCACGCCCCTCTACAGGAGGAGTATCCCAGAGCAGTAAAAAGTAGTAGGGGAGCGATGTTTCGTGCTCTCTTGACTATGCTTTTGAGTCTGTGTGTTGACAATATCTTCATTGTCTTTCTTCCAAGCTCCGCCTGTAGGAGGAAATGTCCGACTTGAAGCAGAGAGCCACAGCCACAGCCCAGCGGCAACGCGAGCCCAGGCCTGCTCGCGCCGCGGAACAAACAAGTAGGAGTACGGGCGGCTGTGCGCAGTGTTCGGCTTCTCGAGGCCCTCGCCGGGCCCTGGGACCGTCAGGAGACGACGCGGGACGAACCCTCCACCTCCATCCTCCATACCCCCCGGCCTCTGCGGAAGTTGCGGGAGGTGCTGCATCGAAACTACTGCAGGCCTCGGGAGGCGCAGGACAGCTCACCGTTTCACGGGGCGCAGGAGTGGGGAAGGTCAGCGCGGAAGGTCCGGAAGAACGAGGGCGAGGGAAGAACGGGTCCTGGGGAGTGGGCCGAGCTTTCGGGGGACCGCCTGTGGAAAAAAATCGAGACGTCCGATCTTTGGGAAACCCTCGCCCTCATTCTTCCAGACCTTCCGTGCTGACCTTCCACGATCATGCGCTTCGTGAAATCCTTAGTTATCTTGCGCTTCCTGAGGCTTTCGAGAGCTTCAATACATCACCTTCCGCGCCTTCCGCAGAGGTCGGAAGGTATGGGAGATGGAGGTGGAGGGCAGGTGGCTTTATTCCAGGAGCATGGAAAGCCGACACCAGCATCACCAGGGACCACCAGCGGGAGGAGCCAGGGAGGGGTCCCCCTGGTGGCGTGATCCGTCCTCTCGCTCGAGACATCCCCCAGCCCCCGCTGGGGGGAGGCATCGTGGACCTCCTGACTGGAGGGAGGAGGGGCCCCTCGCAGGAGTGACCCTCGGGCGCTGGCGCGCTCGGGGCCCCCCAGTCGGCCGACAGCGGGTGTGATGGCAGCGGCCTGCGCGCTCGGGCCCTGGGCTCCCCCGCGCCCCCCCGGAGGCCGCGCGCCGAAGGGCATTCTTGCCCCGGACTATTTTTGGAGTATTTTTTTTTTCGTCGAACATTTGAATTATTTTTTTTTCGTCGAACATCCCCTTGAAGGGGGACACGCCCGACATAAGCCTAGGGCCCCGCCTGCGCGTAGCCGAACGGACGGAGCTGTTTGAAGGGGCCCCAGGACACACAAATAAATACATACAAATAAAAATATTCCCCATATGTTCCCATATGTTCTTGGTTTTTGTCTTCCCACCCACTTGCCATATTTTGTTATATTCCCCTGGGGGTCGACGATTGATTGTGTCTGTGTGTCGTTTCCCCTCCCGACTGTTGCCTCGCTTTTATGACTTTCGCGCGCTTCCTCTGCCTAATTCGTCTCTGCGTAGCCCGCTCTGACCTGACTCGCCGCCGGCGCGCTCGCCCGCGGCCGCTGGCTGAAAAAGTGGCCGGACGGATTTTCTGAGAGGGCTCCTCTGGGAAGAACCCGCCGACCTCGACGCGAAGACTTTTTTGTTGCGGTCGTGGTCTGTTCGGCCGTCTCGGGGCGCCACGCCGACCAGAGCCAGCACTGAGCTGGCTCTGGTGTTCCGACGGCTGCTTGCCTGCGCAAGAAAAAAAAGCAGCCCCCCCAGGGTGCATCCTCGATGTGGTCGTGGCCTCCTGCTGCCCCCCCCCAGGTCATGTGGGAAACGGGTCCTGAGGTTGTTCGCCCTCCTTGGGCCCCCCAGGCTCCCTCGTTTCGCGGAAATGATAAACAGTCGTTATGTTGGGACGATGCTGATTACGAAAGATGATGGTGATGTTGATGATGATGGTGATGCTGATGATGATTGATGATGATTGATGATGATGATGATGATGATGATGATGATGATGATGATGATGATGGTGATGCTGATGATGATGCTGATGCTGATGCTCATGATGTTGATGATGATGATGTTGATGATGATGATGATGATGATGCTGATGATGATGATAATGATGATGATGATGATGATGATGATGATGATGATGATAATGATGATGTTGTTGATGATGATGATGATGAGGATGAGGATGTCTTATCTCGGTCTGCTGATGCACCTGGGCGCACGTTGACACGGATGCTCGGCCCGCCTGGGACTTGCCTAACCCAGGGGTGAGCTCGCTGGCTTAGCCTTCTCGGGCCAAAACACTACTCACGGAACTATTCAGCTGCTAGATGGTTCGATCAGTCTTTCGCCCCTACACCCAAGCGTGACGAACGATTTGCACGTCAGGGTCGCTACGAGCCTCCCCCGTCGTCCCTCGTCCCTTCCCCCCCCACTATGGCCCGGGAGGGGCGTCGGCGGAGGGAGACGCGACTCTGGTCGGGGCTGGCCAAGAGGTGTTGTGATGACTAGGGGGGGGGGATATCATGGCCGGTGGCCATGATGTCTCCCCGAGTTTCATGGCGCCTACTCTTCTTTCATTACGTCCCGGGCCCCCTCTTGGGCCGCGCACGTGCCGCCGGCCATGATTTGCGCCTCCCCTCTTGGACGCCCCCTCTTGGACGCCCCCGCTCTGTTGACGAGAGTTGTGTCTCTTCGAGCCCCGAGGGTCGCCGCTTGCCCTTGGCCTTATACAGCTTCAGCTTTGGAGACTTGACCCCCACGGCCTGGCGAGCCGCTGCTTGCTATGAGCACCCGCCACTTGAACGTCGTGCCTCCCAGTTGCCTGGTTACTCTAGGCCTCCCAGATGGGGTGGGAGTAGATGGTGTCGGTAGATCGTGCCGCATCGCCGATGCATCGGCGATGCAGCGCGATGCGGAGCCCGATTTGCTTCACGCCAGCGTCGGCGATGCATCACCGATGCATCGCCGATGCATCGGCGATGCGGCGCGATCCTCCGACCCCATCTACTCGGACCCCATCTACTCGGCCTCTACTGGCAGAGAAAAGATTACGGCATGTCTCCCAGCAAGGTTTTCCAGGACTTGGAGATGAGCCTCTTGTGCTTGGTGTAATGCTATTGTGCATATTTCTCCTGGCTGTTCCTCACCGCACTTCCCTCCTCTCTTCTATGATCTTCCTCATCCTCCTTATCGCCCCCTGTTGTTCCGCTCCCTTTCTTGCTGATGCCATCCGCCGTGGAATTCTGCACACTGGTTCGACTGACGAAAATCAGAATCCAGGGAGTGCGCATTCAGGTGGGAAGTCTAGATCATTCTTCGTGTTCTTGCGCAGCCACCACAGTCTTCAGTGCTTGTTTGATGGTCGCCTCTCCTTCAAGCCTACCGGTTGCCTGGTAATCCCCCTCTTTGCCCCCAAACCCCCCCCTCCGAGGGAATGGGAGCGCGCGCAGCCCAGGACACCCGCAACGGCCGCGCCTTCCTCAAGAAGCAAGGCCCATGGGAAGGAGGATCTGCATGCAATTCGGTGGCACCTTGTGAAGAAAGGGGATGTGGGGCATGACAGGGGCGAGAGGAGCTTGTGGAGTACAGTCGGGGCCCTGAAGAAGGAACCCTTTTCGTTGGGGAGAGGCTCCGCGTTCCTTCGCAGCTTGCCTCAGGTTTTCCTTATGTTTTCGATCGGAATTCGAAGTTTAACTCATGGAAAAAAGGGGCCTCGTTCCTTATCCGTAAGGGCTTCGCCCCCTGCCGCCGGCCCCCTCTCTCGGAGAATGGGCCATGGAAGAGCTAAGTCATGAGGCCTTGGCGCTGTCGTGAAGCAGTATCGAAACTTCATGCGAAGCCGATTCGCAATCAGCAAAACCAACTGATCACAAGAGGGGTTACCACACCTGGCGATTGGTAAGACGTGTATGGTTTACGGGCTTGGTTACCACACCTTGCGATTAAAGGGCCGAGGGAGTTCTCGCAGTTTGGGTTACCACGCCTTGCGATGGATGTGCGTGAAGGGTGGCACCGAATTTCAGAAATGTGGCAAATCCCCTGTGTTTTTGGACCCTGACCCCGCGGATCTGCGTGAGGGGTGGCGCCGAATTTCAGAAATGTGGCAAATCCCTGTGTTTTTGGACCCTGACCCCGCGGATCTGCGTGAGGGGTGGCACCGAATTTCAGAAATGTGGCAAATCCCTGTGTTTTTGGACCCTGACCCCGCGGATCTGCGTGAGGGGTGGCACCGAATTTCAGAAATGTAGCAAATCCCTTGTGTTTTTGGACCCTGACCCCGCGGATCTGCGTGAGGGGGCGCCGAATTATGTGGCAAATCCGCTATGTTTTTGGACCCTGACCCCGCGGATCTGCGTGAGGGGTGGCACCGAATTTCAGAAATGTGGCAAATCCCATGTATTTTTGGACCCTGACCCAGCGGATCTGCGTGAGGGGTGGCACCGAATTTCAGAAATGTGGCAAATCCCTTGTGTTTTTCCCAACCATCCTGTGGTGTTGGGTCCTCGTTTTGAAGAGACGGTGCCCGCGTCCTCTCCTCCTCTTCCCCCTCCTCCCTCCTCCCCCTCCTTGCCTCTGCTCTCGGCACACCTCTCACGCGTTTCGTAGCCCCATAGGGAGCTCCACCGAAGGCCCCAGTGGGGGTGTCCACATGCGGTTCCCCCACCCAGGGCAGCGTTTCGTGGCCCCATAGGGAGCTCCACCGAAGGCCCCAGTGGGGGTGTCCACATGCGGTTCCCCCACCCAGGGCAGCGTTTCGTGGCCCCATAGGGAGCTCCACCGAAGGCCCCAGTGGGGGTGTCCACATGCGGTTCCCCCACCCAGGGCAGCGTTTCGTGGCCCCATAGGGAGCTCCACCGAAGGCCCCAGTGGGGGTGTCCACATGCGGTTCCCCCACCCAGGGCAGCGTTTCGTGGCCCCATAGGGAGCTCCACCGAAGGCCCCAGTGGGGGTGTTCGCATGCGGTTCCCCCACCCAGGGCAGCGTTTCGTGGCCCCATAGGGAGCTCCACCGAAGGCCCCAGTGGGGGTGTTCGCATGCGGTTCCCCCACCCAGGGCAGCGTTTCGTGGCCCCATAGGGAGCTCCACCGAAGGCCCCAGTGGGGGTGTTCGCATGCGGTTCCCCCACCCAGGGCAGCGTTTCGTGGCCCCATAGGGAGCTCCACCGAAGGCCCCAGTGGGGGTGTTCGCATGCGGTTCCCCCACCCAGGGCAGCGTTTCGTAGCCCCATAGGGAGCTCCACCGAAGGCCCCAGTGGGGGTGTCCACATGCGGTTCCCCCACCCAGGGCAGCGTTTCGTAGCCCCATAGGGAGCTCCACCGAAGGCCCCAGTGGGGGTGTCCACATGCGGTTCCCCCACCCAGGGCAGCGTTTCGTGGCCCCATAGGGAGCTCCACCGAAGGCCCCAGTGGTGGTGTCCACATGCGGTTCCACCACCCAGGGCAGCGTTTCGTGGCCCCATAGGGAGCTCCACCGAAGGCCCCAGTGGGGGTGTCCACATGCGGTTCCCCCACCCAGGGCAGCGTTTCGTGGCCCCATAGGGAGCTCCACCGAAGGCCCCAGTGGGGGTGTCCACATGCGGTTCCCCCACCCAGGGCAGCGTTTCGTGGCCCCATAGGGAGCTCCACCGAAGGCCCCAGTGGGGGTGTCCACATGCGGTTCCCCCACCCAGGGCAGCGTTTCGTGGCCCCATAGGGAGCTCCACCGAAGGCCCCAGTGGGGGTGTTCGCATGCGGTTCCCCCACCCAGGGCAGCGTTTCGTAGCCCCATAGGGAGCTCCACCGAAGGCCCCAGTGGGGGTGTTCGCATGCGGTTCCCCCACCCAGGGCAGCGTTTCGTGGCCCCATAGGGAGCTCCACCGAAGGCCCCAGTGGGGGTGTTCGCATGCGGTTCCCCCACCCAGGGCAGCGTTTCGTAGCCCCATAGGGAGCTCCACCGAAGGCCCCAGTGGGGGTGTTCGCATGCGGTTCCCCCACCCAGGGCAGCGTTTCGTGGCCCCATAGGGAGCTCCACCGAAGGCCCCAGTGGGGGTGTTCGCATGCGGTTCCCCCACCCAGGGCAGCGTTTCGTGGCCCCATAGGGAGCTCCACCGAAGGCCCCAGTGGCTGCTCTCGCATGCGCTTCCCCCACCCAGGGCAGCGTTTCGTGGCCCCATAGGGAGCCCCACCGAAGGCCCCAATGGCTGTTCGCATGCGGTTCCCCCACCCAGGGCAGCGTTCGTGGCCCCATGGGGAGCTCCACCGAAAGCCCCCGTGGCGCAGTTCGCATGCGCTTCCCCCACCCAGGGCAGCGTTTCGTGGCACCATAGGGAGCTCCACCGAAGGCCCCAGTGGCGCAGTTCGCATGCGGTTCCCCCACCCAGGGCAGCGTTTCGTAGCCCCATAGGGAGCTCCACCGAAGGCCCGCCCCGGTGGCGCAGTCCGCATGCGGTTCCCCCATCCAAGGCAGCGCTTCGTGGCCCCATATGGAGCCCCACCGAAAGCGGCACCCACAACGCGTTACCAACAATTGCTTATGGTTGGGTCTTTCGCCAGGATAATTGGACCCTGACCCCGCGGATCTGCGTGAGGGGTGTCGATTTCGAGCCCCCCCAGCAATTCAGACAACGCGCCCAGGGGGTGCTAGAAAGCCGGTTTGGGCTTCCCCCCCTCTCGCGCGGTCAATCAACTAGTTACAGTAACCAGCAATAAGCAGAACTGTAACACTGGAAACTACAAGCTACAACTGGTACAGGAAACTGCGAATCCCGCTCCTACAGCCTGGTGGCCCCACAAGGGGGCCGGCGGATTTTGGCTTCCTCAGGTCAAGCCCCCGACTGTAGTACCAAGGTGGCGCTGGTAGTGGGGACGAGGAGGAGGATCTGGTGTTGATGGCGATGCCTGAGATGCTGATCGTGATGCTGCTGATGATGGGGTTGGTGAGGATGGCGATCATTCGGGGGACGTGGGGGATGACGAGTAGGGGGGTGGCAGGGAAAGGATGAGGAAGAGGAGGAAGAGGAGGAGGAGGGGGGAAAAGGGGAATAGCGGATGAAGGAGGAGGAGGAGCAGGAGGAGGAGGATGATGATGAGGAGGAGGAGTAGGATGATGATGATGATGATGATGATGATGATGATGATGATGATGATGATGTTGATGATGATGATGATGATGATGATGATGATGATGATGATGATGATCATGATCATGATCATGATCATGATGATGATGATGATGATGATGATGAGATGATACGGATGAAGATGAAGATGAAGATGATGATCATATGAATGATGATATGATGATGAGGATGATGAATATGATGATGATGATGATGAGGATGATGAGATGATGATATGGTGAGCTGGTGATGATTGATGATTATGATGATGATAGATGATGATGATGATGATGATGATGATGATGGAGGATGATAAGGATGAGGATGAAGATGAGGATGAGGATGAGGATGATGGTGATGATGATGATAATGATGAGGAGGAGGAGGAGGAGGAGGAGGAGGAGGAGCGATAGAGGAGAGGGGGACGGCGGCGAGGGAGGCGAAAGAGTGGGAGCATGAAACGGAGGGAATAGGCAGGATGAGGGAGAAGGGAGGAGGAGGGAGGATGGAGGAAGAGGATGAGGAGGAGGGGGAGGAGGAGAAGGGATGGAGGAAAAGGAGGAGGAGGATGCCCCTGCAGTTGCGGATAAGAGTGAGGTGGCGGCGGGGAGGGGGTCGTCCGCAGTCTGCGAGATCCGAGAGAACACTCGCAGGAGCCCGCCGCGGGCGTCGATGTCTTACACATGCCTTAGTATCTTTTAACCGGCCCCCATCCCCATCCCCATCCCCATCCCCTTCGAGACCCCCCCCAAATTACCACTCCAGTTGGGGATGCACCCCTCGAAGCCCGAAGGGAACGGCCTACGTCCCCATCCAGGGGGGTACATTGGCCAGTGGAGCCCATGCCACGCCGCTGGGGATGGGGGTCGGATGAACGATGCTCAGACATCCGACGTCTGGATTTTTTCGAGACACGGGTCCCCGACTTCCCGACCCTTTCCCTGGGGCCGGTGTTTCATTCCGAGTCGGTTCTTGACGGTCTTGAGGACTGGTGAGGGCCCCGAGAGGCCAAAAACTGCGCAAACCCTTCGTCTCGATTTTCTCATTTTCTCAAGACGCCCGACGTCCGGGTCGGATGAGCGATGCTCAATGCCAACGAGCCCGCCGCGGGCGCCAGCCAGTTTTCGCCACGGCTGCGCGGGCGGGTCGCGGGCGCGCCGCGGGCGGGCCGCGGGCGAGTGGCGGGCGGGCCCGGTGCGGGCGGGCCGCGGGCGAGGACGACGACCGCGGGAGCGGCAGGAGCAGGAGCAAGGCCAGCCATCCGCACCGCGCGAGCCCACGGCAGCCAGGTGCCCAGGGTCGGCGTGAGGCCGTTCGGCCCCCTCGCTCTGATGATGATGATGATGATGAGGAGGAGGAGGAGGAGGAGGAGGAGTAGGAGGAGGACGATTAGAGGACGATTAACAACCAAACTACAAATCTCACCGATGAGCAGCTGGCAATAGACAGGGAGCTTCCCCTGTCGGCGCTCTGTGCGCCTAGAAGGGCTTACGTGCACATTGACACGGCCCGCACCGAGGGGCAAGGAAAGGGGGTCTTCAGCCCACCGCAACCAGCACGCTGGGCCAGCACGCTTGCCACCTACATTCAGTTTTCCGAGCTGCGTCCGCCCCGTAGGGCTCAGATCACGACACCATCGTGCCGCCCCAAGCCACCCGAGGGGGCGCCACTCCCCTCGGGCGACTCCGCACCCCCACACACGCCAGGGCGGGGCACCCTGGCCGTGGGAGGGATGGGTGCGGGGTCCACCAATGAGCCCCCCGCAAGGGACCCGCTCCCCCGCCCAGGCGCACGCGGTGTACGTGCCGGGCCACCGCAAGGAGGGAGCTGGCGACGAGATGCATTTTTCTCTCGCCCTGGCCCCTACGGGCAAGCAGGGGTGACGATCGGGCTGCTACCCGCCTGTTTTCCTCCTGGCCCAGGAGGAGGAGGAGGAGGAGGAGGAGGAGGAGGAGGAGGAGGAGGAGGAGGAGGAGGAGGAGGAGAGGAGGAGGAGGAGGGAGGGAAGAGGAGGAGAGGAGGCGAAGGAGGAGGAGGAAGATGGAGGCGGGGGAGGAGCAGGAAGGCGGACGAGGGCGGGGGAGGGGGGTTGGAACCACAAGGAGAGGAGGGCGGGAAAAGAAAGGAGGAAGCGCAGGATGAGCGACGCACGCAAAGTAAAACGCGAATAGAACTCAAAGAGGAGGATAGGGACGAAAGGAGGAGCGACGACAAGCAGCAGGGGAATGAGCAGGAGGAGGAGGAGGAGGAGGAGGAGGAGGAGGAGGAGAAGGAGGAGGAGGAGGAGGAGGCCGACGGACAGCGGACAGTGCCCGCCCACCGCGCGCTCGGGGCCGCCCGGGAGGCTGGAAGTCCGTGCAGGGGTACGTGAACCTGCAGAGCTGGTTCCAGGAGCGCCTTCCCCCCCTCTGGGGCAGCGCGTGGGGGTGGACAGGCTCAGGGGCGGAATCGAACTTCGAGGGCCGATTTTGCTCGGCCAGTTC